TTTATTTCTATGTATGACTAGTGCATTAGCTAAGTTGTTTTTTGCAAGATTTCTTTTGTGCTCATAAATGTGTTTTTTTAAATTTCTACTTGTTTCTCCAATATATTGGGAGGAACAGTTTTTGCAATTTATTTTATAAATGCCTGCTTCAGAAATATTATTTCTATTAGTGTTTCAGGATCATAATGGTTTTGGAAGTGTTTGTGACTATTTTAAGATTATTTAGATGAAATAGGTTGTTCTGGATAGTGGACATGACAGAGTTAGTCAGTAGTATTATGCATCTGTTTTCATGTAATTTATTATTGCAGATTACATTATTATTTTTGTTTTGGTTGTATATTTTGTATGCCTTTCTTCTTGTGTTGTGGATGAAATGATATGGGTATTGTAGGTTTTTGAATGTGTTTTCTATGTATGTTTCTTCTTTAAGTAAATATTGGGGACTGCAGATTCTTAATGCTCTTAGATAGAAACCTATAATAATTCCAGATTTAATTTTAGAAGAGTGGTTTGAGTAGAAACTGATCAGATCATTTTTGTTTGTAGCCTTTCTATAAACATAGAAATTTGGTTTACCAATGGGATCTCCTCTCAGCGGCATTCTTGCTTGTTTATTTTTAGAATTTCTAGAAAGTGACCCATTCAAAAATATTCTCCCTACAAACTCTTCATATTTCAGATACATAGACGACTCATTATTAATATATCCACAAAACACCAATTTAACGGATCTTCTCTCCAAACTTAACAACGTTGAACCTACAATAAACTTCAATTTCAAAACTGAAACTAACTACACTCTTCCGTTCCTAGACATCATATTACATAGAAATAATAACAAACTCAATTTTGACATAGTACCTTGTCTGCCATTTTTAATGAAACATGCATATATATATATATATATATATATATATATGAGGTTCCATTGTTCAGAATTTTCTAACACACCTGTGTTCTTCATCAGTGGATGTAAGAAATAAACAGAGGGATGGTGGAAACTATCCAACATTAGTTTTTTGAGGTGGATAAAGTCCACTTGTAGTTTGAATTATTGGAAAAAATCCATTCCCTGTTTGATTTCTCACTGTGCAAAACTTAAGCATGAAATAAAACAGGGAACGGATTTTTTCATTTGCACTCTTCGAACATCTCATTAATAATCTGCAATGCACATTGCCTGCCATGAAGATATATTTTGTGTTGAATAGATCACATTTATCATAGCCATTCACTATTCCATTCTTGTAATCAAGGGAAGACATTATATATCTTCATGAGCTTGACCTGTTCTTCATTGCATTGCCACAAACCCTTCAATTTAATATAGCAAGTTCCTTTAGATTCATAATAAACCTAATGTCTTTTTAGTTTTTTCAGTATTATGAACTTAGTCTGAATACTCTGTGTGCAGTCTGTGGCAACGTCTCTTCATACTGAGGGTACCGGGTTGACAGTTCTCTGGTTGCTGTTCCCGACTGGTAGTTAGGAACCCTAACTCTTGTGTAGTGTCTGACAAGCAATATGGTTTCTGCTTTGCCTGGTCTACTGCTGATATGCTCATGACCATAACTGAATTTATATACCAAGCACTTGACAATAATGGAGAAGCTCAAGCCATAGTTCTAGATATCTCTAAAGCATTTGATAGGGTTTGGCACACTGGCTTTCTTCATAAGCTTCAGGGATACAGCATTACAGGACGATTATTTGACTTAATAAAATCATTCCTATCAAACCGTGAAATGAAGATCATCCTAAATGGGTTCTTCCTCAGTTCCTTTCATATAAACACTGGTGTTTCCCAAGGCTCTATACTGGGTCCTACACTGTTTCTGATCTTCATCAACAATCTTCCTGATGTCATCAATTCTAAAATTAGCATCTATGCAGACAACACTACTATTTACTCCTGCCTCAATAGTAAATCCAGCATTGCTGAAATAACTAACCTGGCTGCAGATTTCAAAAAAGAACTCCAATCTGTGGTTGGCTGGGGCAGGAAATGACTTGTAAATTTTAATGCCTCCAAAATGAAACTGCTTTCATTTACCCACCCTAAAGAACCTTTCCTGCCTCCCATCAGGATGGCTGATGCCCAGCTCCATGAGAGCACCTCTCTGTGCCTTCTTGGTCTCACACTGCCCACTGACCTGAAGTGGAACCAAAATTGAATCTATAGCTTCATCTACCGCAAGGAAAGTTGGTTCTCTATGTGCGCCAGAAGGTTTTTCTTGCCTGAGCCCATCCTTCAAATCTACAAATCAATCATTCGTCCTTGCACAGAATACTGCTGCCATATATGCTCTGGTGCTCCTGCTGTTCATCTCAAGGACTTCGACAAAATCTGAAGACGGATATGCAACGTGATTGGTTCTGATTTGTCATCTCGCCTACAATCACTTTCTCACAGACGTGCTGTGGCTTCCCTCTTTCTTTTCTACAAGTATTTTCATGGGAACTGCTCTGACAAGCTATTTTTACTGGTTCCCAAACTGCATGAATTTAAGCATGCTACTAGGTTAGCATTTCAGCCCCACCTTTTCATTCTCGAAACAGCTAAATGTAGCCATCTCTTCTACTCCAACAGCTTCTTAGCTTGCACTTCCCATCTGTGGAACACCCTTCCTATCACTTGCTTCCCTGATAGCTATAATATTCAAATATTCAAATGTAATGTCAATCGACATCTTCTGATGCCTTGACCTTGATCCCCGTCCTTCTCTTTATACTTTTCCCAAACACTCCTCTTTACTCTTACTCTCACTCTTTGTAACCTCTTGCGTGCTAGTGACACTCCCACCTTGCTTGGGGTGATTTGCTTTAAAAAAAAAAATAGCTAATTTTTATACTCCTTTATCATATAATCCATCAACTTCTTGCTGAATTTAGACAAGGAGGAAAAATGCAAGCCCCTGGACATTGTGGATAGGGTGCTTGGACAGGTATTGAGTTACATGCACATTTATTTTTGTTCTGCCAAATGGATGCTAGTTGGGCTTTCCTATCTATTCTTACTACCAACATCCCTAGCCTTTATTACTCCCAGCTACCATGGACCCCTATCTTCTGGCATTCATTGCCTTTATTACACCCAGCTACCATGGACCCCCTATCTTTTGACATTCATTGCCTTTATTACTCCCAGCTATGATGGACCCCTATCTTCTGGCATTCATTGCCTTTATTACTTCCAGCTACCATGGACCCCCTATCTTCTGACATTCATTGCCTTTATTACTCCCAGCTACCATGGACCCCCTATCTTTTGACATTCATTGCCTTTATTACTCCCAGCTATGATGGACCCCTATCTTCTGGCATTCATTGCCTTTATTACTCCCAGCTACCATGGACCCCCTATCTTCTGACGTTCATTGCATTTATTACTCCCAGCTATGATGGACCCCTATCTTCTGGCATTCATTGCCTTTATTACTTCCAGCTACCATGGACCCCCTATCTTTTGACATTCATTGCCTTTATTACTCCCAGCTATGATGGACCCCTATCTTCTGGCATTCATTGCCTTTATTACTTCCAGCTACCATGGACCCCGTATCTTCTGACATTCATTGCCTTTATTACTCCCAGCTACCATGGACCCCCTATCTTTTGACATTCATTGCCTTTATTACTCCCAGCTATGATGGACCCCTATCTTCTGGCATTCATTGCCTTTATTACTTCCAGCTACCATGGACCCCCTATCTTCTGACATTCATTGCCTTTATTACTCCCCAGCTACCATGGACCCCCCATCTTTTGACATTCATTGCCTTTTATTACCCCAGCTATGATGGACCCCTATCTTCTGGCATTCATTGCCTTTATTACTTCCAGCTACCATGGACCCCAGATCTTCTGACATTCCTAGCCTTTATTACTCCCAGCTACCATGGACCCCCCTATCTTTTGACATTCATTGCCTTTATTACTCCCACCTACCATGGACCCCCTATCTTCTGGCATTCATTGCCTTTATTACTCCCACCTACCATGGACCCCCCTATCTTTTGACATTCATTGCCTTTTATTACTCCCACCTACCATGGACCCCCCATTCTCTTCTGAAATTCATTGCTTTATTACTTCCAGCTACCATGGACCCCCCCATTCTTTTGACATTCATTTACTTTATTACTCCCAGCTATGATGGACCCCTATCTTCTGGCATTCATTGCCTTTATTACTCCAGCTACCATGGACCCCCTATCTTTTGACATTCATTGCCTTTATTACTCCCAGCTATGATGGACCCCTATCTTCTGGCATTCATTGCCTTTATTACTTCCAGCTACCATGGACCCCCTATCTTCTGACGTTCATTGCATTTATTACTCCCAGCTATGATGGACCCCTATCTTCTGGCATTCATTGCATTTACATACCCCAGCTACCATGGACCCCGTATCTTCTTGACATTCCTAGCCTTTATTACTCCCAGCTACCATGGACCCCTCATCTTCTGGCATTCATTGCCTTTTATTACTCCCACCTACCATGGACCCCCTATCTTTGACATTCATTGCCTTTATTACTCCCACCTACCATGGACCCCCTATCTTCTGAAATTCATTGCTTTTATTACTTCCAGCTACCATGGACCCCCTATCTTTTGACATTCATTTACTTTATTACTCCCAGCTATGATGGACCCCTATATTCTGGCATTCATTGCCTTTATTACTTCCAGCTACCATGGACCCCCCCTATCTTTTGACATTCATTGCCTTTATTACTCCCCAGCTATGATGGACCCCATCTTCTGGCATTCATTGCCTTTATTACTTCCAGCTACCATGGACCCCCATCTTCTGACATTCATTGCCTTTATTACTCCCAGCTACCATGACCCCTATCTTTGACATTCATTGCCTTTATTACTCCCAGCTATGATGGACCCCTATCTTCTGGCATTCATTGCCTTTATTACTCCCAGCTACCATGGACCCCCTATCTTCTGACGTTCATTGCATTTATTACTCCCAGCTATGATGGACCCCTATCTTCTGGCATTCATTGCATTTATTACTCCCAGCTACCATGGACCCCTGTATCTTCTGACATTCCTAGCCTTTATTACTCCCAGCTACCATGAACCCCTATCTTCTGGCATTCATTGCCTTTATTACTCCCACCTACCATGGACCCCCCTATCTTTTGACATTCATTGCCTTTATTACTCCCACCTACCATGGACCCCCTATCTTCTGAAATTCATTGCTTTTATTACTTCCAGCTACCATGGACCCCCCCTATCTTTGACATTCATTTACTTTATTACTCCCAGCTATGATGGACCCCTATCTTCTGGCATTCATTGCCTTTATTACACCCAGCTACCATGGACCCCCTATCTTTTGACATTCATTGCCTTTATTACTCCCAGCTATGATGGACCCCTATCTTCTGGCATTCATTGCCTTTATTACTTCCAGCTACCATGGACCCCTTATCTTCTGACATTCATTGCCTTTATTACTCCCAGCTAGCATGGACCCCTATCTTTTGACATTCATTGCCTTTATTACTCCCAGCTATGATGGACCCCTATCTTCTGGCATTCATTGCCTTTATTACTCCCAGCTACCATGGACCCCCTATCTTCTGACGTTCATTGAATTTATTACTCCCAGCTATGATGGACCCCTATCTTCTGGCATTCATTGCATTTATTACTCCCAGCTACCATGGACCCCGTATCTTCTGACATTCCTAGCCTTTATTACTCCCAGCTACCATGGACCCCTATCTTCTGGCATTCATTGCCTTTATTACTCCCACCTACCATGGACCCCCTATCTTTTGACATTCATTGCCTTTATTACTCCCACCTACCATGGACCCCCTATCTTCTGAAATTCATTGCTTTTATTACTTCCAGCTACCATGGACCCCCTATCTTTTGACATTCATTTACTTTATTACTCCCAGCTATGATGGACCCCTATCTTCTGGCATTCATTGCCTTTATTACACCCAGCTACCATGGACCCCCTATCTTTTGACATTCATTGCCTTTATTACTCCCAGCTATGATGGACCCCTATCTTCTGGCATTCATTGCCTTTATTACTCCCAGCTACCATGGACCCCCTATCTTCTGACGTTCATTGCATTTATTACTCCCAGCTATGATGGACCCCTATCTTCTGGCATTCATTGCATTTATTACTCCCAGCTACCATGGACCCCGTATCTTCTGACATTCCTAGCCTTTATTACTCCCAGCTACCATGGACCCCTATCTTCTGGCATTCATTGCCTTTTATTACTCCCACCTACCATGGACCCCCCTATCTTTTGACATTCATTGCCTTTTATTATTGCTCCCACCTACCATGGACCCCCTATCTTCTGAAATTCATTGCTTTTATTACTTCCAGCTACCATGGACCCCCTATCTTTTGACATTCATTTACTTTTATTACCCCTCCCAGCTTTATGATGGACCCCTATCTTCTGGCATTCATTGCCTTTATTACACCCAGCTACCATGGACCCCCTATCTTTTGACATTCATTGCCTTTTTATTACTCCCAGCTATGATGGACCCTATCTTCTGGCATTCATTGCCTTTATTACTTCCAGCTACCATGGACCCCTTATCTTCTGACATTCATTGCCTTTTATTACTCCCAGCTAGCATGGACCCCTATCTTTTTGACATTCATTGCCTTTTTATTACTCCCCAGCTATGATGGACCCCTATCTTCTGGCATTCATTGCCTTTTTGATTACTTTATTACCCCCAGCTACCATGGACCCCCCCTATCTTCTGACATTCATTGCCCCTTTATTACTCCCAGCTATGATGGACCCCCATCTTCTGGCATTCATTGCCTTTATTACTCCCACCTACCATGGACCCCCTATCTTTGACATTCATTGCCTTTATTACTCCCACCTACCATGGACCCCCCATCTTCTGAAATTCATTGCTTTTATTATTTCAGCTACCATATGACCCCCATATCTTTGACATTCATTGCCTTTTATTATTCCCCAGCTATGATGGACCCCTATCTTCTGGCATTCATTGCCTTTATTACTTCCAGCTACCATGGACCCCCCACCTACCATCTTCTGGCATTCATTGCCTTTTTATTATTTTCCAGCTACCATGGCCCCCCTATCTTTTGACATTCATTGCCTTTATTACACCCAGCTACCATGGACCCCCTATCTTTTGACATTCATTGTCTTTATTACTCCCAGCTAGCATGGACCCCTATCTTTTGACATTCATTGCCTTTATTACTCCCAGCTACCATGGACCCCCTATCTTCTGACATTCATTGCCTTTTATTACTTCCAGCCACCATGGACCCCCAGCTACCATGGACCCCCTTCTTCCGGCATTCATTGCCTTTATTACTTCCCCTAGCTACCATGGACCCCCCTATCTTCTGACATCCATTGCCTTTATTATTCCCAGATACCATGGACCCTACCATGGACCCCCTATCTTTTGACATTCATTGCCTTTATTACTCCCAGCTATGATGGACCCCTATCTTCTGGCATTCATTGCCTTTATTACTTCCAGCTACCATGGACCCCTTCTTCTGGCATTCATCTTCTGACATTCATTGCCTTTATTACTCCCAGCTACCATGGACCCCCCCATCTTTTGACATTCATTGACTTTATTACTTCCAGCTACCATGGACCCCCTATCTTCTTATTGCATTCATTCATTGCCTTTATTACTCCCAGCTACCATGGATCCCCTATCTTCTGACATTCATTGCCTTTTATTACTTCCAGCTACCATGGACCCCCCCATCTTCTGGCTTTCATTGCCTTTTTTGACATTATTTCCAGCTACCATGGACCCCCTATCTTCTGACATCCATTGCCTTTATTACTCCCAGATACCATGGACCCCTATCTTTTGACATTCATTGACTTTATTACTTCCAGCTACCATGGACCTCCTATCTTCTGGCATTCATTGCCTTTATTACTCCCAGCTACCATGGACCCCTATCTTTTGACATTCATTGCCTTTATTACTCCCAGCTACCATGGACCCCCTATCTTCTGACATTCATTGCCTTTATTACTTCCAGCTACCATGGACCCCCTATCTTCTGGCATTCATTGCCTTTATTACTCCCAGCTACCATGGACCCCCTATCTTCTGACATCCATTGCCTTTTTTACCATGACCCCTATCTTTTGACATTCATCCCAGATACCATGGACCCCCTATCTTTTGACATTCATTGCCTTTATTATTACTCCCAGCTATGATGGACCCCTATCTTCTGGCATTCATTGCCTTTATTACTCCCAGCTACCATGGACCCCCTATCTTTTGACATTCATTGACTTTATTACTTCCAGCTACCATGGACACCCTATCTTCTGGCATTCATTGCCTTTATTACACCCACCTACCATGGACCCCCTATCTTTTGACATTCGTTGCCTTTATTACTCCCAGCTATGATGGACCCCTATCTTCTGACATTCATTGCCTTTATTACTTCCAGCTACCACAGATCTTACTTCCAGCTACCACAGACCCTTATCTTACAGTATACTTGGCCTTCATTACTTCCAGCTCTTACTTCAACCCTGCTCATCTGATTGATCATTGTTAATGAACCTGCTTACAACAGCCTTGAACTTCCGGCTACACATTGGTCCCTACTTCTGGCATCTCTATCTCAACCTAACTTTCCTGGTTGGTCAGCATTAATGGACCTGCTTACAACAGCCCTGAACTTTCAGCTATGCTAGTTCCCTGCTTCCAGCTTTCATGTCAGCCTAACTCACCTGGTTTTGGAAATTGCTGCATTCATATCGTCCAGATTCAAACAAACTACAGCATACCCTTTGATTAAAATACTATGGAAGTCTCACCATTGGACTTATCCAGCAACTACGCAATGCTAGTTTAAACTGAACTTACTTCTCCTTGGCTATATCATCCAGACTTCAAATAACCTATTCTGTACACTTCAGTTAAAATACTACAGAAGGTTCATCATCAGATTTAACCAGCAACTTTTCAACACTTTCACCAGATACGTGAACTGAACTTTCAAACTGTGAACTTACATGCCAACTTACATGGACTCTGCTTTTAACATTTAATCACAGTTATATTATCTTGATCTTCTGGCCGGTCAGTATTCTTTAATTTACTTAATTCTGTCTCCATTACTTGATTCTTTGTTTGCTCATATTCCTTTAAACGAATTATTACTATTGTATACGATGTAAGTAAATTTTGTATTAATTTTGTTTGTCATTTGTTGTCCTCTTGTTGACCTTTCAGATTTCACATCTTTTATTTCTAAAACATTAACGGGCCTCCTGGGACTCTCTTTATTTGGGTGCACAAGCCATGTTATATTGCACCCCCTCTGTCCACTACACATTCTTTCTATTAAGTTGAGACAGCCTTCTTGGTGTAAAGAAAAGGAATGGTTGTTGTGTTCTCAGCAACCATTACTTTTGTAGCACAAATATTCATATATTAATGTATTATTAATATATGTATATTTCTTATCCTCAGTCACCCCCTGCCCTTTCTTTTCATCGTGCCCCAATATTTTTTGTAAGTGGAGCACTGATGAAAAAAGACAAAAATCAGTCAACTTTTTCTAATATATTTTCATGTTGCCGTATATGATAACTGTATTTTTTTTTATCCAATTTCTTCTTCTTTTTTAAATATGTTTTTTTTAATAGCAATGCTTAAACAAATTTTAAATCCCCCCTCATTTATTAATAATATTGGACCCTTGTAGTATAAAAACTCTTTACTGTGAATCCCAGGAAAACACAATTGCTGCTTGTATAGGAAACGCAACATAGTAGAAACCAAAATTTAGCTACAAACAGCAAGGTCTCTAGATATAAATAAACTCCAACCCCAGGCTGCTTCTCCAGAATAAGATACCTTGTGCCCTCCACCAGTTGCTAACACAAACACCTTCTCATTAACAAGGCATCTACCAGAGGAGGACTGACATCGAAAATAAATTTAAAACAATGCTTCATGACAAACACTTAGGGGCTGATGATAGCTGCGTACAGACCAGCTTGACTATTCCCATGTTGAGGTAACTTTTTGTTTTTATGCTGTAAAAAATACATATGCTCTGTTATAATAAATACATTGAAGTCTCTGTTAGCAGTTTTAATAATTAATATTACTAGGATCTACCTGTATTATTTACCAATGGATCTATTATCTGTACTATATATATATATATATATATATATATATATATATATATATATATATATATATATATATAGATACACACACACATACACATAGATACACATAGATAGATAGATAGATAGATAGATAGATAGATAGATAGATAGAGTTTATAGTATGTAGAATAGTATTTTGTTAAATTCAATCAATAATGTCTGTCTTTTTAATGTTTAATATTTTTTTTCAAATAAATTGTTTTATAACCAAATAAAAACTATTAATAAACCGTCCAAAGTTCATGTTTATGTTGTGTTTTTATTCAAGTACTTTCAATTGTATCAGTTATTATCAAAAACTAAATGCTGTCAATATCAGACAAAATTTTGTTGGCTACATCCTGACATTTTTGGAACACTACCTTTCAAATTCAAATATACAAGTGACGTCATGGTTTGAATGGTTTCACAAAGCTTGACCACACAGGAAAATGAAAGTATCAAATATTTTTATGCATATCTTTATTGTATTTTGCTATTATTTACTAATATTTGTTTTATGCTAATAGTTGTATTTTAAGGTATGAGAGAGAATGTTGTTTGCGTGACAGATGTCTGAATTTAATTTTGTTTTTTATTATTGATACTAAAGTAATCTTACAAAGTTTATGAGAATTTATAAACATTGTTTTTACACAGTGGGGATTTTTGAGTTTCAAATAATTCCTAATAATTAGGTTAGATGTTTTAAACTCTTTATTATAAATGATAAATCTAGGATGTATACAGGAATTATTAAGGGATATGGATTGGTAAATTATATTTTAATGTTTTTTTTTTCAGATGTACCCTCACATATAGTTAAGGTGCATTTGGCTTTGATGGAATATGTTAATGATGTCAGTACTCACTTTATTTTCATATTTGGAGGATTTAATTCAACAAATATTATTAAGGAAGAAGACAAAATAAATATAATGATAGCGCTGTGATTTATTTTCTGTTGCTTGATAAGATTCTAATGATTAGCTATGAGAAAACATAAGGTAGGATTGCCTAAAGCAAGTGGTGACTATTTTGACACATTCTGGCTTTAATGAGTAAATGTGGCTCTCAAGACAAATT